TATGATTGTATTCACAACCCTGAAAAACATGTATGTTGAACAGGTAGACAATAAATTTTAAAAAAAAAGCGTCAGTTAATAATCGTAAAGACAATGTCACTGTTCAAGAAGGCCTTTCTCAATATGCACCATTATTACCAACTATATTCAACTTACCATTATTACAATTATATTCATTTCCAAAGTAGTAACACCGCTCAATTTGCAGATGACAGCATAACACTTATCAGTTACCATATTTCACAACGTAAATAAAATGCAGGGACAGCTAAATTTAATAAAAAAATTGGAAAATGCACGGAATGAAATTAAATGAAATCTATCTAAATCAATACCTATTTTGTAACTAGAAGTGTCACATCTCCCAAACTACTTACAATCAACAAAAATTCCACTCCATGGTATAACGTGCCCAAGCTGTCGCAACGAGCGAGTGATCTACGTGAGCGATCCAACACACCAATTTACCTCCACGATTTTGATGCAGTGGTCCTGCTGCTCTAAAATTATGAAAAATGACTATCGGGAATGCTTGCCATGCCTCATAATAAAAAATATTAAAATTCAATGCAATAATTTAATAATTTAGGGCAAATATGAGATTTGGAGTGTTAAGATGATGCATAATGATGACAACATGATGTCGCTAGCGCAAATAAAAGATAACTTATATCTAATTGACAATTATTTTGTAAAGCAATGGCCCCTCCAATATCCTTCTCGGTTGTGAGAGCAATGAGCTCCCGATCTGTACTGTCTTTGGGCTGGGCAGCAGGGACTGGGCAGCAGAGAGCTAGAATATACTTCTTAAACTGGCTGACTCTATTGGTTCAGCGCTCTTGGTGGACGCTCGCAGAACTAGGGGCCGCCATGTTTTTTGCAGACAAAACATGAGAGAAGCCTGATGAGGGCATGTTAAACTGTTGTACGTAATCGACATGTTTTATATGATATTTTTTCTATATTGTTGACTTTTCGTTTTTCTTAATTTAAATAATATTAGTGATCAGAATAAAAATATTCACAATGCATGCAGTATGTTCGAAACAAAACTGTAAAATTATAAGTTATCAAACTACAAATGAATGGATGAAACCAGAACGATATAAGTGATATTTTATAAATTCTGAGAAATCTGTTTATTTAAGTCAATATCACTGTAAATTTGTGGTGCTTATATCATAAAAACCACGATATTTTAATTGTTCATTAAAACAATGAAAATGTATTGCCACTGAAATACAGCCTAAAATAAACATTTTCTCAGAATCTATAAAATCTCACTTATACCGGTCTGGTTTTCACCCTTTTGAATACATCATTTTTCAAGTACGTCGCTTTATTTGTCATTTGTTTGTTTCCTATTGCAACAACATTCACTTCCAGGCGTTATGCTAACTACATTAACATTTCCACAGCTTCCATTGTGATAATTACCAATGCAGGAAGCGACGTGTTTTAAAGTTTCTCCACTCGTTCTGCTTACATATTGTTATTTCGCTTTTAAACGATTGGTTTTTGATCGTGAGAGTAAGAGAATTTATATTACGTGTGGCCCACACCAACCCGGATAACACCAAACGGAATACTATAATACTTTGTTGCACGACTGCACATAAACAGAAAATGAAAAATACTGGTGTAGTTCTTTAGTGTGCTTTACCTTTTTCTACTGAGTTTTAACATGGTCAAGTACTTTATACATTATCTCGAAAAGTGTAAGTGACATCAACATTTTTCTTAATATATATATATATATATATATATATATATATATATATATATATATATATATATATATATATATATTGTTTCGCATCACTTTCTGAGTAGAAAATCAAACGTAGATTGTTTTCTTTCCCTAAGCAAAAATCAAAATTGAATAACGATGTGAACGAATTGAAAGGATTCCTATGTGAAGAGAGCTCTGGGGCCCCCAAGAGTTAATCCGGTCCTGTATGCACCTGCGCAGACCTATGCGGAAGGTTATCGCAATCTCCACAGGAAGTTGTGACCATCATGGGCCCAAGTGGTCGCCTAAAGGGGGGTCTTAAAGAAAAAGAAACCGTTCCAAAAATATGTTAAAGAAGTAAACGCTTCATCGAGATGACATCACATTTCATTGTTCTCTACCCGCGAAAAACATTACTCTCCTTATCGATTTGCATAATCAGGTGTAAGATTGCCGCTAGTTTGCCATGGGCCGTAGCGGGCTGACGAGCCAAAAGAACAGTACAGGTGTAAGACTAACAATACAGAAAAACAAATATATTTGTAGTACAGTGTATATAACGTCCAAGAGAGCAAGAAACTCAATCGACGGTAAATATATATATATATATATATATATATATATATATATATATATATATA